CCTTCAAAGACGAGAGAAGTAACCATGCCCAAATTTACCCTCCAGAGACACGAAACTAACGCGATTCTAGGCGTCCGACTCGGAGCGTTTGCCCGTCTGGTCCAAGGCAAGGAGGTCAGGGGCCCTCGAGAGCCCAGTTGCCATGATGCCCACGAGTACGAGAGCCACGCGGTCGCGCTTTTCCAGCCCGCATCAGCACGCCAACGGAGGAGGAGTATCGGAACCTGTCAAGAAGAGCAATGGAGCAAGCGAGGCCTCGAGGACCTTCATGCAGAAATGGTTGGAGCCTACGGTGCAGAGCAAGCCGAGCTTCGAGGAGGCTGGATTGATGCGATACGGCGTCACCGAGAACATGGCGCCCCTGGGCACGCTGCCAAAGGGACCACAGGCCAAAAAGCCGGGTCAGGAAGTCGCGAATCCCGTCAGGAAGATTATCCTCAAGTCGAGCTCAGCAAGTTCTGCTGTCGCTGCTGCTGCAAAGGCGGCGGCGGCGGCAGCGGCGGCAGCAGCTGATGAGGCAGATGCGTCTTCCATGGCAAATCGCTCAGAGACACCGACACCGACACCGCCTCCGCGCCTGCCTACTCCTCCAGCCAACGCTCAAAAGGCGACCAGAAAATCTCTTCCCGCACGTGGTCTGGACGACGACGACGAAGACGAGGACTACACGCCCAAGGCAGCCGCAGGAAAGAGCCAGGGCCGTCGTGCATCTGCCTCCATCTCACGCAAGAGTGTGTCGCGCTCATCGGTAGGACGCCGTGCATCAGCTTCACTTCATCAAATGGCTCCCTCGAGCGACGCCGTGCAGCCTTCAGAATCGACGCCCGAGAACAAGGACGTCGTCGAGAGGGCTGTGGAGGTCGCAATCGACGAGGCGCTCCGGCATTACCGCTATCCCACTGCGTGGGCACTCCGGACCCTCTACGACGAAAATTCTTCTAACCCGGCCTTCCTCTCCATGTTTGAGGACGTTTACCACCAAACAGCCGACGAAGACACCCTCGACGAATTTTCTCGCCTTATCGAGGAGAAGAAGCGAGAAGGCAAGAAGGACAATCAGGCTTGCTACTTTTTTGTGCCCCCTTCCACCAACTCGCGCTTCACCCCCCACAAGCCAAAGCCTGCGCCCTACGGCAATCTTCTCTCTCTCGACCTCTCAAAATCGGACGACGAAGACGACGATATGCCTCAAGTTACCCCGACAAAAAAGGCTAGGAAGCGCAGGGAGATTCCGGAATCACCCATGGGCATGAGCGTCGACGACGAAGAAGACGACGACACTACTTTACTGGCGGCGGAAACCACCATCGCGACCATGACCCCGTCACGCAAGCGTGCCCGAAGAGATTCTGCAAGCAGCGACTCGTCCTTGTCAGAGCTCTCTGCATCTCCGTCTCTGCCACCCGACTCGCCTTCGCCCAGCTCTCCGCCCGTTCCCGTGGCTGTTCAAGGCGATAGCCACAGTCGCCGTCACAGTGCCACGACGGCTGCCACGGCTGCTGGGGCCGACCCCGAGACCACCTTGACCAGCGCACCACCGCCAGCCGATCCACAGCCAATGAAGAGACGCGGCAGATCCCTTGCTGCTAAGGCGAGCGTGTCTGACGCATCCAACCCAAACTCACCCACCCTCCCCCCAAACGTATCTCAAGCTGCAGGGGCTAGCAACATGCCTGGTCGACTTTCTTCGCCCATTTTCCCCAACCTTTCGACGACAGCAGCACCCTCAAAGGCGAATGGCAAGAAGAACGCCAACAAGGACAAGACTCCTCGCGTACTGCCCAGCGACGATGCAACCACCCTGCGGAGGAGAGATGCACGCGATAGCACAGTTAGCCAGACGCCCCAGCCTGAGAGCCATATTCGCGGTTCCGACATGAGAAGCAGGGCTGGATCTATGGCCGCATCTTCGCCAGCAGTAAATCTGCGCAAGTCGGCAAGAACACCAGCGCCGAGCTCGAATCTGCCTGTGAATCTGACCCTGAGCACGAGAACGACGAGATCAGCAAAGAGGACGCACGACGAGATCGACAATACGAGCTCGCCGACTGCGCCGTCAATCCTCGGAGAGGTGACGCCCGCCACGAGCTCTAGGGCTGCGACACCGACGAACCTGCGCCCTACGAAGAAGCAACGGACTGGCTTGCGTATCAAAACTTCGTAAGTTGCCTCTTTCCCCTTTGCATCATGAAATTTGGGCCTCGCTGTGGCAAAGCGGATGACTTGACATGATGAGTCGAGGGCGCCAGTGATGAGTGGCGCGAGCCTGGCAGCGTCGCACCGAAGCATCCTCGTCTCTGCCATCATCCGTCTGTCAAATTTCATCCATGGTTCGCCAAATCAAGCTGGACACAGACTGACGCATTCTTACAGACCCATGAAGAAGAAGGGAGGCACTGCGGCTGGACTACCTCGTGCCAGCGGTGAGGGCGGTGCAGTTGCCGCCAACGGCGGTGGCCCAATCAACCAGGTAAGCTGCCAGTTCAATAACGAATCCTTCAGCAGCACGGAGCTGCGGTCATTTTGATCGATGCCGCACCCCTACTGTTGCGTACGGGGAGCGAGGAGATGATGGGCCGGGCGAGGGTCGGCGAATGGTGAGGGCATGGTTTTCGGGGGCCAAGGCGCACATCCCGAGGGATACTGAGTTTAGCGGCCAGTCCCGACCTCCCATTTTTCCCGGCCAGCCTGCACCCACACTCCTACTCATTTCCCGTAAATTGCCTCAACGACCACATTGCTGACACATCTCATCAGGATGAGAATGACGACTACTGCTCAGCATGCAGCGGCGTTGGAGAGCTGGTCTGCTGCGAGAACTGCTCCAGGTCATTCCATTTCGAGTGTGTCGACCTGGGGCTGGGCGACACTCTCCCCGAGGAATGGTTTTGCAACGTCTGTTTCAGCAGCAGATACCCCACTAGGGTGCCCGAACACAAGGGTCCCTTTGGCGGTTTGATGAACACTCTGGAGAAAACTAATCCTCGAGCCTACAAGCTGCCGCAAGGCGTGCGTGTGTATTTCGAGGGCGTCAAGGTCGGCCCTGAAGGCGAGTACGAGGATGTGGTAGTGCCCGCTAAGCCAAAGTAAGCTACAATCTCTGTTCTCACTATCTCGCTGTGTTCCAAACATCCCATCTCGCCTGTCCTTGGGGAACGCTTCGACTGACAATCACTACAGGAAGAAGGGCTATGAGGAAGCTCCAGACTTCTTCAAGGTTCGAGAAACTGACGGATCTGCTGTGCTATGCCACAATTGCCAACACCCGACCGCCGACAACCGAGCCATCATTCCCTGCAGCCTCTGCGGGCTTCACTGGCATCTGGATTGCCTCGATCCCCCGCTGGCAATCCCGCCTGTGGTGCGAACATGGCGTTGCCCTGCGCATGCAGACGACCTGTTAGCTACATTGCCAGAGGAGCTTGCCCCAGCTCACCGCTTCCGGAAGATCAAAGGCGCCCCGGTCATCGTTCCTGCCTTCAGCCGCGGCATGAAAAACAATGGCTTCATTGAGATTGATGATGAAGAATCCGAGGATGAAAATTCGGGTTGGAGCGATGTCAAGACCTTCGGTCGCGTCTACAAGCTGTCTTCCAAGGGCGTTGTCCTCGATTTCATTTCTCAGTCAGTTCCCTTGGATCCTTATTTGGTTGTTTTCCAATTCTAACAGATCTGCAGGCTTCGGAAGGATGGCGCTGGTCACATCAAAGGCTCGACGGCTTCAAACACCGTCCAGGCGCCGCCAGTCAGCGAGCCCATGAGTGCTCGTTCACGTGTTGAGCAGCAAGCAGTGCTGAATTTGGTCGAATTGGCCTCCACTCAACCCACTACCAAGCTTGACGAGCTCACAGAGGCATTGCTAGTAAGTCAAGAACTGTTTGGAATTGCAAACAGTTGTGACTGACACATGTATACAGACCAACGCCGAGCCAGCTATGCTCTCACTCATGGCTCGTGGCAGTGTCAACAACTTTGCCAGCGGAGATCTAAATGTTACCGATAAGCAGAGTCTCCGCGCAATGCTAGCTCAGATGGAAGCCATGACTGGTCGCATCAAAGGCTTGCTTGGAGACGACCAAAGAGACAGCGGTGTTTCTGGTATGGGCATCGAGGCCGATCAAACGGCGATCGACTGTGACCATACCAATGGCACTGTCAGCACCGGAGACGACGCAGCCTCGATTAAAAATGAGTCCGTGGAGCCCCCTGCCGACCTACCTACGCCAGCGACTACGACCCAAGATAACCCGGAGCCGATCAACAGCCTGGGCGAGAAGTCTTCGCAGGAGGTCCCCAACGACGCGAACGAAGATGATGTGCCCGACATGGATATCGACTAGGCTAGCGTTAACAACGATTCGACTATATGTTTAACTGATTATTCTTATCTTACCAAACACAACACACAAGGGTGGTGTTGAGACGCTAATTGGAAGTGGATGGTTCGCCTCCCAGGACTAGGGAATCAGCAGCCAACACAGCCAATTGCGGATATAGCCCATTTTCTACTCTTTTCTTATTTGATTCCCCAAGACACGACCCCCACACGGATCTGGAGTTTGGGAGGGCTCAAAACGAAGCAGCGAGCAAGCGCAAAGAAAGACCGGTGAAGGAAGACCGGCCATAGAATCGAAGCGTACCGAGACAGGTGCGACAGAAAGCCACATAGGCTTCGAGCGACCCGACAAAGCAAGCTCGCATAGTCATTCATGGCCTTGTAGCCATGGAGAGTGCAAACTGGATTGGCCGAAGCACGTAGAATGTGCTGAAGGCGAGAGGGGGACGGGGATCTGGTTATCTGCCCATGCTGCCACCTGGGGAAAAGGAATGGTGTGAAGGCCAGCTTTTTGTACCTCACTTTCCTATTCACCTTTCCCTCCAATTTTCTTTTCCCCTTACTGGAATTCCCTCACACCCTGCCTCAATCTTGTATCATAGGCCATTACCTCTTCTCGTAATATCTCTCTTTTGGACCAGCAGGCAGGGCTGGGCTGGCTAGATTACCAAGGGAAACAGAGCACTTCTTTTTTTTTTCTTCCAGGGAGGCAAGAGCGAGAAATCCAATTTGGGAAATGGGATTGATGTGACCTGAAGCCGGCCGGCGGTTTTGAGTACCTTGGGTCCAGGCCAGGTTGAAGGAGAAAGCAGGAAAATAGGGCAAACCCCGGGAGACGAAGGGAGGGTAGCCTGACGAGGCCCAGTAGATAGAATGCTACACCGCATGATCTATATAACCCTACCATTGCCGTTCCCTCCAATGCTGCAGTTGTCATTTATGAAGAAAATCGATACATCTATCTCTACGAGCGTGGGCTTGCGCTCCTTTGAGAAAGTTTCCTAGGCATTGCCTGGATTGGATGGCACCGACAGTGGTACTCTAGTCTATTTATTGTCTCTGTCGTTGACAGAAGAGACAATGAGCAGTGGAAAACCAACAAAGCCTGGCTGTGATAGATGGCGTTTACTAGTTATAATCTTGGGCCTTTCCCCAGAATCCTTCCCATCCATTCGCCATATTGACGTTCTCTAGGGCAGCTAGCTGGCCGCATGTAGCAAAATGATCTGCTCACTATGGAGGAACCAATCATTCTAGTGCTCCTAGGTAGCCAGTCTAGTATCTTTCAGCCGTCGCGTCCCTCCCTCATGGACAGAGCAGCAGGTGTCTCCGACTTCAGGCTTCTTCTTACTTAATATCAACATCACTATGCTCCTTCGTGCACGGGAAACGGTAGGACCCGAGAAATCTCGTGTGGCAATATCAACTAGCTTTTACGACAATGCTTGACTAACAATACCTTATACTTATGCTATCTAGTATGAAGAAGAAAACACTACAAAAGAAGGAAGAAACACCCAGCAGCCCAAGGTAAAAAGTTTGCGTGGCTATCAAGAGTTTTTTTTGCCTGACTGCCTGCCTAGCGAACGAACCCGGCAGGTCGCGGCATACACACACGAATGCTTTGACTGCGGAAACACACTCTCGACTCCATAGCTCTCTCATAACAAAAAGCAGCATATGCGATCTTTTAGGGGGTTGCGTCTTGACTGCCATGCGAAGGTGGGGCTTCAGGACAACATCCGGCTACCCTCTCTCGGTTTTTCTATATACCACGCCACAAGCAAAGTGAGGGTAGCAATAGTAAAGCTTGTAAAAAAACTTCCCCAGCGGAAAAAAAGAAAGGACAGGAAGAGTGAAGTGGCAAGTGGGGGGCTTCTAGAGCCCCGAGTGAAACGAAAATAAAAAACCCTCTTCGTTGCTGCGACCACATTTCCGGAGAGGCAACTTCATGTTGTTGTTGCCCTGTCTATCATCAAGACATGGCCTCCTCCACATCTGGAGTGGCTTGCGCATTTTCCTGACACGTTGGGCGGTGCGTACCCCCTTGCAAACATTCTTACATGACGATCCAGATCAACCAAACTCCTGTGCCGATCCCATACCAAGCCATCCCTTACCAAGCAAAAAAAAGAGCGGCATGAGCCAGTCAGACCCTCTCTGACCAGCAATTCGTCTGTACAAGTGGCGTGTGAATCATCGCTTTTCAACTCGTCAGTCACGTCGCGCTCTGGCTTGGTGGAGAGGGGTTGCGAATGGGGGATCGCTTACTCGGCCACGTCTTCCGTTGACTTGCTCCTGCTGCATGTACGCCATGTTCTGCATACCGCCCATATTGCCATAGCCACCATATCCCGACATGCCCATGTTCATACCAAATCCAGGAGGTGCGTACGGTGCCTGACCGGGAGGCATCTGAGGAAGCTGAGTCGGCGGCTGAATGGGGCTTCCGTTGGCCAGGTTCTGGCTGCGGTACTGGTCAATGGACGGGCTTGGGCTGCTATACCCTCCAAAGCCTGCCTGCATTGGCGGGAAGAAGTTGTTGATGGGGGGCGTCGCACGGTTGAGCATGCTCTGTTGGTACTGGAGCTGCTGCAGATTCGCAGGCGTCGGCATGGGAGAGTTGGACTGGTTGTACATGGGGTTTTGAACACCATAGGGAGGGAAGGGAGCCATGCTCGCGTCGGCAGGCTCACTGCGTTGGCCGCCGAATCCCAACTCATAGTTGGAAGGGTTGACGGGCTGGTTCAACGAGTTATAGTACTGCTGCTTGCTCATGTGAGCAGCCTGCTGCTGCTGGTGGTTGTTCATGTTGGCCTGGCGGGAGGCCGGTCGCTGCCGCTGCTCATTGTTGTTGCTGTTATTGCCAGAGTTGCCATGGCCGTGATCGCGGCCACCGCCACTGTTGCGAGTCGACAGGCCAACCTCGTCCATCAAACGCTTGTAACCTTGGCCGGGCTGGGCCTTGATGCGGACCAACACGTTCTTGACGTTCTCAACCACCTGGCTGCGAATGCTCTCGTCAAAGAACGGCGTGGTGAGAACCTTGAAGATCAAGGTGGCGCCGCAGGCATGGTCACTCAGGATCGCCTCGAGAATTTGGTCGTTGGGTGTGAAGAACAAAGCCTTCAAGATGGTGTCTCGCGCCTCGGGCTCGGCCTTTTGGTTAATAACCTTGAGCACGGTGAGGTAGGCAACCTTGTGAGTGCACAAGTGGACGAGGCAGGGCACAAGCTGGGGGGACAAAACAGTCCTGCGCTGAGGGAAGGTACAGGTATCCAAGAACCAGGTCAACAAGAGGGCACCGTTGGCGTTGGTGGCGAGCTGGACGCTGTGCAAAGCGATCGCGGCAGCCAGCATCCGCTGCTGCTCCTTGGTGGAGTGATGGCTCTCCAAGCAGGCGCGCATAGCTCGGGCACCGTAGCGGCCCTGAGAAACCTCCCACATGCGGCTGAGCATGGTTTCGAAGATGAAGTCATTGAAGGGAGCACCGAACTTGAGGCAGCCTTGAAGAACGTAGTTGCCGTACTGGTCCAGGAACAGAGGGATGGTGTAGGGTCTGAGGTGCTCGACAATCAAATTCATCTGGTGCGGGGTCTTGCAAACGTCGATAATCTTCTGGGCAGCCCAGGTGCCGTTCTTGTGTACGCCAATCTCCGCCATGTGAGGAGCGATCTCGGCCAACATGGCGTCCCGAAGGTCATCGGAGCAGTGCTCAAAGAGCTTCTGTACAACAGTATTGCCAAGGTAGTCAGACGCTAGCTCGGCAATCTCTGGCAGCATGTCAAGAGCGGTCGTCTCGATCTCGGCCTGGGAGAGGCTCTGGTTGTCGATTCTCTTTCTGATATCTCTGAGTCTCGGGGCATCGTGGACGCGGGTGTGGGCCGGTTCCCGGATGGGGGGAATCTCGTCGATGAAGTTGGTGAACTGGATTGATGATTGAAGACTGCGGGAGATCTTGGCAGCATCCTCCTCGGTGGCCTGGAACTGCTTAACGATGCGCATGATGTCACTCGTCATTTCTGACAGAGGAGGCACAACGGGAGCAGCATTGGCTGACTGGGCCGATGCATTTGCGCTCTCGCCAGCGGTACCGGGGGCCGCATTCTGCGCATTGTCCTGGTTCTTCGCGAACGGATCGGGGCTGGGCGAGGGGAAAACGCCATCGTGGCCGGGCGTGTTCGAGGCAGAAGGCGGCTTGGCAAAGTTGATGCGAATGGGTCCTGCTCCAGGGAAGATTTCTTTTCCGTTCATGCTGGCTTTCGCAGTGATGGCGCTCTCCATCCGCTCGAAGTTCACAAAACCGCAGTTCTTGTGCGTGAGAACACGAGCAGACAGAATGTGACCGTATGCCTTGAACATCTCAGTCAAAGTCGATGTAGTAGTGGAAGTCGGGATGCTGCCGAGCCAAAGGGCGCTGGTAGGACCCTCAAGACCCTGGTCCTCGGCATTGAGCAATCCCGCATTGCGGCTGCTCGACCTTCCCAGGTTCATAGCAGCCACAGCTTGCGGGAGGTCGTCAAACTCCTTTTCATCCGGCAGACGGATCTCCGCAGGAGGGACGGCGTTGCCCATGCCACTACCGGACATGTAGGTTCGCATGAGGCGAGAGCCAGGAGTATCGAGGACGCCGGCTGTTCGGGCACGAGGACGCGTAGCTTGGTTGGCAAACGCCTGGACAGCCAGATTGTGGTTGTGGATCGCAGCGTTCGTAGCTGCGAGCTGATCCTGGAGGTGGGCGACGTACTGGCTCTCAAGAGTCATGTCCTCGAACTCATCGTCCTCCTCGTCTGCGTACTTGTCCTTGTTGTTGACCGAGTACGAGCGGAAACGATTAGCCTTAGTAAAATCGTTGAAGCTCGGAATATACGGTGTTGCCAACTGGGCGCGGGGAGGCTGCGGCGTCTCAGCAAGTCCCAAGTAGTCCAGCGTCCTCATATGGACATCGCTTTCTCCACCCCCCTCTCTGGAAATCTGAGATTGCGTGGGCGAGCTCGGCCCATTGGTCGAGCCGATGCTCGCAATGCTCGCAAGAGTCATACCCCTATCGCGACCCGTTCCGGTAGGGTTCCAACTGCTGAAAATGGACGGCCCAAAGGGAGAGCTGGTGCCGGGGATCTGCGCGAAAGGGCTCCGCTGAGGCATCGAGCCTGCGCGGAGGCGGGAGAGCAGCGCAGAGTTGTTGGAAGCCGTGTCGACCGGTTCGAGACCGGGAGACGGAGATTTGAACGGGCTGTGGGACGGAGTTGGCCGGGATGATTTGGGAGCCATAGCCGGGAGGTTGAGCAAGCCATTGCCTACACCGCCGGGCGAGAACCGCGATGGCACGGTTCCAGCACGGGCACGTCTCGCCTGAGGCATAGATTCGGGGGTGGGCAATTGGGCAAAGTCAGGAAAGCCATCGGTTGGCGACTCGGGGATGTTCTCGCGGAGGGGCGTAGAGTTGCCGCTGGTCGGCGGACCGCCCCAAGGATTTACCGGCAATCCGGGGACGCCTTCTTGAGCTTGAATTTCGCGGGCCCTGTCGAATTTTGGTCAGCAAAAACGAATGGTCACTCGCAGGGTGGCAGAGCGAACGAACCTCTTGGAGTATAGCCTGCTGGAGCCGGGCATCTCGTGCGATGGAGAGCCAGCCCCTGATCGCGAGGCGCTAGCCATCTTGCTAGAGTGATTCAAACCGCCTGGCAGGCCGAATGGTGATCTGACAGATGAACCAGCGGTCGGGTCAATGGGGGATGTGTTGTTGGCGGTTGGTGAGGTGGACCGATTCTGTGTGGCAGATTGGGGCGGGTAACCAATGGCCAGGTGATCAGATCTAGTTGACATTATCAATTATCTAGGCCAAAGCTCATCAGAAATTTTGTGACACTAGAATTTTCCCAGCGGGTTGCTGTCGTTGACGAATTG